ATTATAGTCGTCCCTTGATATCCATGGGGGAATTGGTTCCAGGACCCTTCTGGTACCAAAATTCACAATAAGTCCCTTATAAAAAATGGTGTAGTATTTGCATGTAACCTATGTACTTCCTCCTGTATACTTTAAATCGTCTCTAGATTACTTATTATAGCTAATACAATGTAAATGATATGTAAATACTTGTTATGCTTTATATTTAGGGACTAATGACAAGGAAAAAAGTGTACATGTTCAGTACAGACTCTTTTTTCAAACATTTTTGATCCCACGGTTGATTCAATCCATAGGTGGTAAACCCACAGATACCAGGACCTACTATGTATCTCTTTGCTTCTACTATGTATAAGAGGGATTCAACATGGAAACATTTGAATTTTACATATAAGATCTGATTATTTTCTTTACAATTTTTCCTTCTGATCTGAAGACAGGAAAATGCACAAAGGGCAAGATGGAAGTAAGGGATGAGGAGTTCAGTGTGGAAAAACACTTGGTTACAACTGGAGAAGTTACTGCAAAAACCAGGTTTCTTCATGTGATTAAGACAGAAGAAATTATTTGTAGTCTATAGCAGTATCTCTCAAAATTTAATGTGCATATGAATCATTTGGGTATCTTTTTAAAATGCAGATTCTGATTCAGTAAATCTGGAGTGGATCCTGAGTTTCTGCATAATTCAGAAGCTCCTAGGTAATGCTGATTATGTTTTGAGTAACAAAAGTGTTAGTATTTAGATGGGAGACAAGCACCACTCCCTGAAACAACGGTACTGGTAAATTTAGCTAACAGAGAAGGTAAATTGCACATCCATCAGTAAACTCTAGAGGGCATCACTGGTTAGCAGTTCAATACAGTGAATATTTCAGTTTTCCTGAAAGGTTAAATTTGGTTTACTAACTTGATTAATAAGGCAACCAAATATGATGTAATTTTAAGAGATTTATATTAAAAAATTTAATGACTTCGATATAAAAGGGGTATCAGTTAACTAATTTTATTTAGTTGAATGTCATGTAAGCTCTGGAGGTATGCTCACATGAAATCTGCTAATATAATAGAGATTCAGAGTCAATAAAATGATTTTTTGTATATGTATTTTAAGCAGCATAAAACAGAATTTTGCCTCTCTTTTTTATTTTAACATGCCATTATTTTCTTGGTTATAAAAGTAGCCATTCTTTTTGGAAAATTAAAAAGGACAAAAACAAGAACAAAAAAATCTGTCCTGCTACTCAGATAATTACCTAATATTTTGGTATATTTCCAAATGGAAAAAAAAATTTCTTCCTGTATTTTACAATAACTATGGCATCATGCCCCCCCTTCACATTATGAGCATTTCCCTGTATTTTTAAATAGACTTAAGAATAACAAATTTGATTACTATCATATTCCATAATTGGATGTCATGCAGTTATCTAACCAATATTCTATTATTGGATATTTAAATTGTTCCCAGTGTTTTGCTTTTATGTTATTTTTTATCTGGCATGTCTAATTCCTAGTGTATTGATCTGCCATAAATCTTCCTACTCAGAAGTAGAAGTTATTTCACTGTAAATTTCTTGACCCCAAACCTAGGAATGAATAACTTGGTCCTGTTTCTTTGATTTGTAATCCCATCAGCATGTGTTCTATGAATCCTAATGCACAAAGTGACAGGTACTTGAAATAGAATTCAATTTTATCTACAATTACTTTTACATGGTTTCATTTTCAGTAGGTTGTTCCACAGTTTTTCATTAATTATTATGCTACTAATTGACTTTATTCTTTGGTAAATTTTTTAAGCAGTTTATTCATTTCGTATAGTTGTCAAATTAGTTGGCATAAACTTGTTCATAATATTCCCTCATTAATGTCAGATCCATAATGAAAAAGCCCATTTTTTATTTTGGGTATTTGTTATTTGTGTTCTTTTTATTTTATCAGTCTAGTTTGCAGTTTATTAATTTTTTTAGCTTTAGCTTTATTTTACAAGTTTTAAAATATTTTTTATATTGTACTTCCATTATCATTCAGTTTGAAATATTTTCTAATTTCCAGTGTGATTTCTTTTCGAGTCATGGCTTATCAGAAATATATTTGATTTTTCAAATATTTGAGGGTTTTCTAGATAATATTAATTTCTAATTTCATTATGGAGAATATGTAATTTCAATATTTTTACATTTATTGAGATTTATTTTATGGCTCAGCTTATGACCTATCTTGTCGAACATACCCTATACACTTGAAGTTGTTGGGGCAATTAGGTTAAGGCCATTAATAGTGTTTGTGCCTTTACTGATTTTTGTCAAGTTACTCTATCAATTGCTAAAAGAGGGATGTTAAAATCTCCCACCATGATTATAGAATTGTCTATTTTTCCCTTTTATTCTGTCAATTTTTGCTCCATATATTTTGCAATCTGTTATTAGAATTTATGATTTTTATGGCCTTGTCATCGTAAGGATTTATGATGTTTATGATGTTGTTATTATTATCTTTTGTCTCTGATAGTACTCCTGGTCTTGAAATCTGCTTTATCTGACATTAATATAGGCACTAAAGGTTTCTTATGCTTACTCTTTCATGGTATATTTTTTCCATCCATTTATGTGCAGTCTGTCAATGTGAATTACACTGATAATTTTTCATCACAATCCAGATTTCTGGTAATCCCTTCCTTGTTTTTATTTAAAGATTTACTCCAAAAGTATGCCCTATAGTTTTATAAGCACATATAAATTTAAAAGATTTATTTGCATATATTTATGACCAGCTTCTAACATTCAGTATTATGATTGTAAGATTCATCCAGGTTATTGCATGTGGTTGTAATTCATTTATTTTTATTCTCTAGAGGTGGATTTGCTGTATCAAAGTTATTTATATTGTTACATTTATTAGATAATGTCTAATTGCTTTCCAAAGTGGTGGTACCCATTAACATTCCCTTAGTACTAGGGCCTGAACCTTGGTGAAAAACTTCCTACTGAACTCGTTTTCAGAATTTTTAATTTGTGCTAAGCTTGTAGGCATAAATTATTTCCCATGATTTTAATTTCATTTTTTGATGACAAATGATGTTAAACCTTTTCCCCATATACTTGTGTTTCCTATTCTGTTAAGTGCCTGTTTAAGTCTTTTTCTCATATTCAACTGAGATTTTTAGAAAATGATTTTTTAGGAATTCTTTATTCTAGTTAATAATTCTTTTTTATTTCAAAATATTAAGGGGGTACAAATGTTTTTGTTACATTGATACCTTGTGTTCCTTGTACCCAAGAGGTAAGTTTTTTCCCCTTCACCCCCCGACCTTCTCTTCTTGTTTTCCAGTATCCTTAACATCTCTTTGTGCCAATGTGTTCCTATTATTTAGATCCCAGTTATTAGAGAGTACATGTGGTGTTTGTTTTTCCATTCCTGAGATACTTCACTTAGGATATTAGTCTCCAGTTCCATCCAACTTGCTGCAAAAGACATTATTTGATTTCTTCTTATGGCAGACTAGTACTCCATGATATGTAGTACATACCACATTTTCTTTATCCACTCATAAATTGATGGGCACTTAGGTTGATTCCACATCTTTGCAATTGCGAATTGTGCTGCAATAAACATTGAGTATGGGTGCTTTTTGATAAAATGACTTCTTTTCCTATGGGTAGATAACCCAGCAGTGGGATTGCTGGATCAAATGATAAGTCTATATTTCTTTAAGAAATCTCCGTGCTATTTTCCATCGAGACTGCACTAACTTGCAATCCCACCAACAGTGTATTATCATTCCCCTTTTTCTGCACCCATGCCAGCGTCTGTTGTTTTTGATCTTTTTAATGGCCATTCTGACAGGTAAGGTGGTATATCATTGTGGTTTTAATTTGCATTTTCTTGATGATTAGTGATGTTGAGCATTTTTTCATATGCTTGTTGGTCATTTATCTTCTTTTGAAAAATTTCTGTTATATCTTTTGTCCACTTTTAATGGGGTTGTTTAGTTTTTTCTTGCTGACTTGTTTGTGTTCTTTGTAGATTCTGGATATTAGCCTTTATCAGATGTATAGTTTACAAATATATCCTCCTATTCTTTAGGTTGTCTATTAACTCTGTTGATTATTTCCTTTGCTGTGCAGAAGCTTTTTGATTTAATTAAGTCCCATTTATTTTTGTTTTTGCTGTATTCGTGTTTGGGGTCTTAGTCATAAATTCTTTCCATAGGCCAATATCTAGAAGAGTTTTCCTTACATT